ATGTTCCCGGTTTGACCTACACACATATTAAGGAAATAAACTTACCAGGGGGTAAATTTTACTTCTTTGACACTGTTTCGACATTGTTTGACATTGTTTGACATTGTTTTGCACTGTTTAGCACTGTTTTGTTGTAGATAACTTCCCATTTAAGGAAAGGGGAACTTCTTTTTGGTACTGCTAAAAAAGGAAAGCAGGAACATCTTTGCGGGACGGATGGAGTACATCTAAATGTCAAAACGAGAAAGAATCATAACAACTTGGGAAAAAACCGCAAATTTTACCGTGGGATCGGCCCACCTTGCGCATGATGTGCCGATCCCAAACGGTGCCGTTTTGATTAATAAAAATCAGTTTATCCTCTTCCGCTTTGAATGGCCACTACCAATTCTTGAACTCCTCCCCAAAATATCTCAGGCTCATCATCAGTGGCTGCTAGGCATCTGACAACTTCCTATTCTTTTTTGGGTTGGATTCTTCTTCTTGTTCGTAGTTTGTTTTGGTTGCTAGTTTCTTCATCTCAGTTGACCAAGCTTCATGATTTTCTTATACCTCTCGACGGGGATTCAAATCCAACGAGGTTCTGGCAACACGGTCTCCTTCATTCTCAAAATATCTATGGTTTCATTGAGTCCAGGAGAATCTGCTCTAACTAGCTAGGTCTTCTTCAATTGCACACTAATAACTTAAAACAAATACAGTCATCGTAATCTCCTCTCAATTTCTCAAAATCCCTCCCCAATAAAGGTATAAAATCGAGTATCTCTTGTAACTAGGTAGTTCTTCTTCAATTACGCGCTTTGGAGTGGGTAGGGGGTCTGGCCGCCTGACACGAGATGAGGATCTGACCTTAGAGCTCCTAAAGATGGGATTGGGTTTCTATAGGGAACAGGCATCCATGGAACTGAGCAATTTGTTCAAGTTTCTGCGGAGGGATAGAATTCCATGCGTACCTAAGAAAAGTTACATTTTTATGAAAATGATTTACATTTTCATTTATCTCAAGTTACATATCTATTAACATGAGTTGCATGTCAACTTTCCTCATCAAGTGACATCTTGCTTACAAGTGATATACAATTTTCATAAGGTGAGTTACACCACAATATAATGCGAGTTACACAACAAAATAAGCTTCTGCTATTAAAAGAAAAATTATTTTTACAAAAATCATTTTTATAGAAATAAAAATATAAAGTGTTTTTTATAAAAATAACTTTTATAAAAACTATACTTCGTATTTCAAGTGGTATAACAAGTTGAGAGATTAAAACAAGTTACATATTCCATGCGCATGAGTTACATTTGAATACACTGAATTTATATTTCACAATAGCGCGAGTTACATATCAATACAAAGGATTTACATCATGAAAAAAATTGAGACAAATGTAATAGTACTGTTCACACGGATTTTTTTTAAAGTTAAAGCTTGAATCTAAATGACACCTTTTTATATGTGGGATTATGATGCTCAACCCGTAACAACTAGGAAAAAACGGGACATGAATAGGGATGGCAACGGGGCGGTTCGGGGCCGGGTATACCATTACCCGTACCCGCCCTAAAAGTTAACTTATTATCCCCGTACCCGCCCCATTCTCCGTTGGGGAATTGGTTACCCGAGCTGTACCCAGTTAAAACGGGGAACGGTCTTCCCCGCGGATAACCACATTATTAAAAAATATTTTTGTTCTTCTAAATAGTATTACAATCAAACAATTACTTGACCATTGAATAGCATTCGATAAACACCACAAATCAAATATAATTTATCACAACAATGACGCCAAAATATAAATTACAAAAATATTCACTAACCAAAAGTTAAAATACACATTCCTACAACATTCAAAAGTCAAAATTTCAGTAATATCTTCCAACATTGAAAACACATGGTAGGAACATTTAAAAGTCTAAATTCCAACAATATTTAATGCCCAAACTCAACAATAGTTAATGTATCCAAGTAACACGGTAAAACAACACTGTAAATCTCAAATTTCAAAGCAGTAATGTATTCCAACATTCAAAACACACTCCAATAATATTTAAATGCCTTAAATCTCTTGAATCATCCTTCAAGTCTTCAACACGATAAAGTGTAATCAACTTAGAGCCTACAATTAATATAAAAACCATTAGCTAATAAAAAAAATGTAATAAGGATATTTTATTATGAAATATTGAGGCATACCTTTTCTTCAATTTCATCGGGTTCATTCAAATCGATATCATCTTCATATATTGAAGCATAACCGTCTGAAACAAATGGCCCATCGTCTTCACCTACAGTTAAAAAGTATATACAAAATCAGAAAAAGAGAGATGCAATTAAATATACAAATCTCAATGTGTATGCTAAAAAGGTTACCTTTGAGATTGTTCCACAACCGAATTTGAGCACACATTAATGTTTCTATAGTCTTTGGATGAAGTCGATTACGATGAGGACTAACTAACCTACCGCTAGCACTAAATGCAGATTCTGAAGCAACCGTAGAGACAAGGATTCTGAAGTAGGGTACTTTACCCCCATTAACTTTCCACCACAATAAAATATTAAAATCATCCGTCATTGATAAAACATCGTCATCCAAATAATGGTCTAACTCTGTTCTACAATTGGAATCGGAAGTTTTTAATCTTTTCACAAAATTCCGAAAGCCAGTCATGCGATCAGTTGTCATGTTTCTGGAACTGCTCTCACTCTCATCAAATGTGGTATTTTCATGACAATCATCCTTTCTTCTCTGAGATGTTCCTTGATCAAATCATAGCACAATCGTTGAATGTTGTTAATTACTTGCTCATGATCCTTGGGACATACCATAGGAAGATAATATCTAAGTAGCGCCATATCTGCACTTAGCCTTTAAAAAATCTGCACTTTTATTTGAAGTAGAAGGTAAATAACAGGCTGATCATAGTATTACAATATACAAACTGTTATTAGAACTCTGCACTTTCAGAATTCTGCACTTTAGCCCTTCAAAAATCTGCACCCATAATTATTTTTGAAAAATTAATGTAAAATTAATGTTGCTAATTACAGCAATTACACAAACTAATTAAATCTAAATATAAACTTAAGATAAACACTAATGACTTGCAACACTACACTAAATTGAAAGAAAACAAAAGTAATCACAACTAATTATAGCAATTATACATTTATACAAACAAAAACACAGCAACACTTGGTAAGAACGAAACTGATGCAAAGGTTCTATCACTTATATAGTAAAATAAGCACAATAACACGAAACAAGGTACTCTTAACAGCAAACTAAAGTCTAAAATTTGAATTCAAAGATACAAGAGAAGACAACTTGATAATATTGATACCAATATAATGAAAAAAACTAAGCCTTGTATCCCCTGCTGTTTCTTTTACCCCTGGCCCTCTCAAACCTTCTTCCCTTGGCACGCACATATGGCTTGTAGAAGATTACCTGTTATAGACGAAGGAGATTTGGTGATGAAGAATAGCAGAAAACCTGGATGGTTGGATGGACACTGGCCGTCGAGTGAAGATAACAGATGAGTAGCGAACTAGCGAGTTCGGATGAGTGAAGGTCGAAGGATCCGATTAGCACTCTCTGGCGTCTGGCTGAGTGAAGGTCGGAGGAGCGAACATAGCTGTTGGGCGGGTGAAGGTTGAACTCTGGTCGATTAGCCTCTCCACTCTAGGCTCTAGCGATAGAGTTTCCTAAGATGCTTCTGGACTTCTGGTCTTCTGGTCGATAGGGTTGAACGGAAAGGGAATATTAGGAATTTAGGATTTAAGATATACTCGTACTAATAAAATGTATTAAATTATTAAAATATAAAAGTATATAACATATAGTAATGGTTCGGGTAACGGGGCGGGTAACCGTACCCAAACTAAACGGGTTGGGTACGAGGCGGGTAAGGGGGCGAGTTATTATAAAACCGTACCCGCCCCGTTCCCCGTTTAAAAAAAATTGGGCATTCCCCACCCCGTACCGTTACCCAATCAACACGAATTTCCCCATTTTGTCTGGTTCGGTTCGGGGTGGGTATACATCAGGTCGAGTTAGATTGCCTATGCCTAGACATGAAGAGCCACGCACGAAGGAGTGAGCTGGTAGCCAAGCATAGGGGTGGGCAGAAAATACCGGAAAACCGGTATATCACACTTATCGTACCGAAAAATACCGGAAAATACCGGAATGTTGGTATTCCGTCATTTTCGGTAAGGTATCATACCGTACCACTTTATTTTGGTACGATAACGGTATATGTTTCTAAATACCGCGGTATACCGGTATAATACCGTACCGATTCCATATTCAACATTTATTTTATAATTTTTTAAAATATTGTAGAAGTCCACTCAAATATTCAAGCCCAAAATAAAATTCAAGTTGGTAATAAATACCAAAATACAAAAATTAAGGCCCACTTTTCCAAACCCAAGCTCACTAACCTTCTACTACCAGTACTATGTGTGTACGTAACATCCAATTAATAAGTCTAATACCGATACTCATTATTATGATCTTTTTAGATGGATGTGACCTTACTGTTGTTTTAAAATTCATTATGAAGTATCTCATTCAATGAAAATATTTCTGCTTCTCTTGGGTTTCTAGGACAAATAGGGGATTGGGATATATCGGTAGCAGCAATTGTTGTTGTTGTGATTGAGGGGATCACAATGCTAATGTACAGAAAACCTCCGTCTTCCCTTCATGTAGATGCTTTCAAGTTAGGCAGTTGATTCCTTCCCCTGTGACATTTTCTTTTTGTAAATGAGTCCTTTAATCATTATTTGTAATTTGTAAAAAATTCCCATTCGATACGGTACTGTAATACCGAAATTTTTCGGTATACCGAATCTTTGGTATGGTAAGGTATGAGTTTTTTGCCAAACCGATATTTCGGTATACCGAAACACGGTATACCGAAAGTCCCGGTACGGTATCGGTATAAGAATTTGTCATACCGCATTTTCGGTACGGTATATAGTATGGGTTGAAATTTTAGGTATACCTTACCCATCCAGCCCTAGCCGAGCATCCCAATAAGCTACGCTTCAGTCAGACGTTGACCACACTACTACTAGTCACTATGCAAACGCTGCTCTTGCCGGCTGCTTGTTCCGGCAGCGCACGGCTACCCTTGCTAATGATCTCACAAGTGGCGGGGAAACCGTCACCACTCAATCTCCTCCGCCCCAAAGGTTCCCTCTTTCCTCTCTCTTTATCACAGACTCTCCCTCCTTTACAGAACCGAAATGTTCTCTCTCCACAGCATCTATCTCTCAACTGCAGAGGGATTAGAGTCATTGCCGCCGCTAGCGCTTCTCCAATCGACGATATCGAAAAAGAAAAGCTCGCTCAGGTCTCCTTTTGTATACTGTAAAGTCCGCTCCTTAAGTGTGCACTTGTTTTTCTTAGTAATTCTAGATGGAATTCAATGCAAATTATGCTTGCCTATTTGGAGGAAATTTCAGGCACTTGAATTTATTCAACCGTCAATTTGACTGTTTTTGACGATTAATTTTCTGCTTAGGGTTTGAGCTTGTGAGAGGAATTGTTGATTGTGTGTAGATGCGATAAAAATCAAATTGAAATTCAATCCTTATACTTGAATGTGATCTAAAGCATGCTGCATTGAAAACATTATTTTATAATCATTGTGTATGTTTTGTGTGGTCACAAAACCCTGCTACATTGAAAAAGTTTCATAAAATAAATGTTTTTTCCTTTTCAATATTTTTATCACTCCTTGAAAGTTCATCTCTGGGGGTTCTTGCAATGATTTGGTTTCTTGAACACATTGTAAGAGGCTAAGAGCAATACATTTTAGAATGCTTATTACCTTGCATCATTCGTATAGTTGCTCATTTCTTAGTTAAATTGTTTATAGGTTTCAAAGAGATTAGAGAGAACTTCAAGGTATTTCAAGAGATTGGGTGGGTTAGGGTTTTGGGGGCAGCTGGTTTGCACTGTTGTTGCAGCTGGAATCCTTTCTTTATCCATTGCAATCACTGGGAAGATCACATCGCCCTTCACATTTTACTCTACTGCTGCTGGAATCTCTGCTGCTTTTGTTTCTGTTTTCTGGTCTTTTGGTTATCTTCGTTTGTCTGAGAAGCTTAAGAGAACGGCCAGTCAACCTTCAAAGGTAACATTCTATTTCAGTAACATATTACGGGAGTGTTTGCAATAGCTTGTGCTTTAAAAAAAAACACTTTTTAAAGTGATTTTGGAAAAAGTGCTTAATAGTAAAAGTTGGTAGTGTTTGAGAAAAAAGTGATTTTGAAAAGTAAAAGTTGGTAGTGTTTGGTAAAATATGTGTTTTTTGTGTAACAGAAAAGTAAAAAAGCAGATTCTAGCTTTTAACTTTTTAGTGTTTTATTTAAGCAGAAGTTGTCATTTTAAAACACTCTTTTTAGCCTTTTTAAGCCAAAAGCTGAGAAGTGCTTTTTTTAAGCTATTGCAAACACTCCCTGATTCATTTGCTTTAAGAAGCTTCTGAGCTAGAATTGCATTATGGTATTTGTTTACCCATTTGCATTAGGGATGCAAATGAGCCAAACAGAACTTAAAGGTGGGTAGGGTTGATTTCGGCTGGATTGCCTCAAATCGAGTATAGACACACACACGACATTCTTTCTTTAATAATTGCAACAGTTTGACCTTTACTCTATTTACATACTCTTTGTTGAGTCGTTAACCACATTTTAATTATTATGTATGAAAATACCAAATTGTATAAAATATTGTTAAATGAATCTCATTTTAAATTATGAATTGTTTATAATTTTGACTAATAGGCAATTAAATAAATAGCATATTAATGGCAAGAGTTGTGTGTTGGGAAACATGAAAGTCAAACTATTGAAACTAAACAAGAACGGGATAAGCACGTATATTAATGGTTCGTGAGTCATGAGTCAACTTGAACTTGAGATAAGCTCTATTGCTTAATGAGCCCGCTTGCGCTTAGTTTGAGTTGAATTTGACTAAATTTTAGTTGAGCTTTAACCGAGTGGCTCATGAATGGTTTAACTTGCTTAGACCCCTAGTTTGCACAAGTGCATGTGAAGATGGTGGTTCTGAGGCTAGTTCTTGTGTTCATGTGCTGATCAATGCTAATTCACTATGTGACTTTCAATTTGTTGGTGTTTTGTTAGTATGTGATGCTTGCAAGCAAGCATTAAGATGTAACTCAATCAGTCCCATTTTATCCTGATGCCTTGTCTTTTTAGGCACCTCCTCGTGAAGATGTGGTAAAAAGCTTAAGAAATGGGATCGGGTTGAACCTTTTTGGAATGGGTGCCACTCTGATTGGTATGCAAGCCACTGTAGGATTTCTGGTAGGGAAGGCCATTACTGCATATCCATTTTATCAGGGTGTTGCTTCTGGTGGTAGTACCCCTTTGGTTGCACTGGATGTGTTTCTCATACAGGTATACCCATTTGGTTGCTATAGGTTACACTGTTGTGTTTAATAAGATTGTTATCACCCCCTCTCCCCCCAAGAAAAACTGATTGAGCAAGGTTAAACTTTTTCTGTCAAATTATAGCAATAATTAGCATGTTTGGGTATCGTAATTTGCTTAACTATACATCATTCTCTTGTGATATTTTCAGGCATCAACTAACGCCGTTCTCTCACATTTCATTGGGCTATTCTTCTCATTGCTACTTTTGAACTCAGTGACATTACCGCCCACAGAAAGCATTCGTGTTCCTAAGGTTGCCTAACCTCTCCCTAAGAGTGAAATGGTGTTCAAAGCCAAGGGAATAAAATCTATTAAGTTCTTTTGTAGCGTCTTTTAATTGAATTTTCTTAGTGCTATTTCGAGGTTCAGCTTTCTATCTTTTTCCCATTTTATAATGTGTTGGTAGGTGTTACAAACTCAATCCACCCTGCTCTTTATTCTACCATGTTTTAGTGCAAGTTTCAAACAGAAGTATTGACAAGCTCTTGGTATTCTAAAACTTGAGTTGGTATTTGAATGAATGATGAGGTTTCTAGATGAAGTTGTTTTCGAACCAAGGTTTCCGAACTCAATGTTTTCAAACCAAGTGTGTTTCCAAATGACCATTTGAATTTGAAAACATGGTTTTCGAATGAGAGATGTTTTAGAATAAAGTATAGGTTTAAGAATCACTTTGGTTTTTGAATGAAGTGTGTTTCTGGATGAGCATTGTTTTCAAATCATCAGTTTCCAAATCAGGTTTCATTTCCAAAGAACTAAAGTTTTTGAGCTCAACTTTCCGAACAGCTCAAGTTTCGGAAGAGCTAAAGTTCCTGAAGAGCTAAAGTTTTTGAAGAGCAAAAGTTTTTGAATGAAGTTATGCTAATTTTCGTTCCGAAAATACTAGAATGTTTAACATATAAAATTAAGCTTAACCATGCATTTTCTTGAATTTTAGAGCACAAGTAGTGATAGAAAAATAGGATTTTCGAATCAGGTTCTTTGTGAAACAGCAAGTTGAAAAATTTGCAGAAAGCTTCAATCAAAGTATCAAACACGCACTTGATTTGATACCATTTTAAGTATCAATTACACAACAATCACATATTATAAAGCACAACAAAGAATATAGATGAGATGTAAATGTTGAATAAAATAAGATAACGATAAACGAAGGTTTACAAGGGAAGAAATTTAATATGCTACAGTGAATGACGATCTCTTTCTGTATAAAATGTTTGGATGCGTGACTCAACATCTAGGTTTCAGGATGCTTACCATTCAGTTATATAATACTGAAGGTTAAGCTCGGCGCGTAAAGGTAATACATAAGTGGCCCGTTACAAATAACTAATCTATTGAATACATAAATACAAAGATAACTATGGAATAAATAATTAATCTACTTTGACACAATAAAAAATATTTTTAACAGTATCATGCTATCACATCTAAAATGATGTCATTAAAGTTTAAATTTTAATTTAGAAAACACATCTGAACGATACGTAGTCTATTTCTGTCTCAATAATTTTCATGATGTAAGTATCAGGCATTGAAATGTAACTAGCATTGCTACAAATGTCATCTCATTTAGCGGTAAATGCAACTTGTGCACTGGAATGTAACTCACCTTACTTCTTTCAGTAGTTATTCTTTCACCTTTTATATATAAAATGTAAATCATGTGTATGCAAAATGTAACTTTAGCCAAATTGAAACATACATCACACGATGTAAAATGTAATTTATTGAGATGAGTAGAAATATAAATCAAGTTAGGTGAAAATGTAATTTGAAACAAGTCAAAATATAAACGGTCTAGTATATGTTGGGTGTGTCTCGGAAAAACGAAGAAATACTAATTAAATAAAAATAATTAATAAATAAAATAGCCAAAAGAAAACAAAAAATAGATGGAACAGAGTTTAGTCAGAGCTCGTGCTACGCACGATGTCCTTAAAACGTATTCGTCGCCTCCCACGGTGCTAGAAGCGTTGCAACGACCGTTTCCCAGGATACGGTGGCTAACGAACTAACGTTTGAGCACACAAACGAGAGTTTCAGCGAACGGGAACAAAGAAGAACACTAGGATTTTTTCAGAGAGCTACATGTGTTTTTCAGAGCTAAAACGCGTGTATGGTTGCTTGTGAACGTGTAAGAACGTGTGTTTGTTGCAAAGCACCTGCCAGCTATATATAGGAGGATTTTTTGTGTGTTAAATGAAATGTTAATGGACCTGAACATTGGACATCAATGACCAATCCGTTGGGCATTGAGTCGTCCATAAAGTGTCCATTTAACGCAACATTAAAAGATAAGAACGTTGGACATCAACTTCTGTAACGGCTTGGAGCAGTTCTGGTGCGCGACCAGAATACCTCCACCAGAGTTGGAGCAACTCTGATGCTACTTCAATACCCCCATCAGAGGTGGAGCATCTCTGATGCGATCAGAATACCTCCACCAGAGGTGCAGTACTTCTGGTACGAAGCCAATAGAGTTCAAGCAATTCTGTCCGAGCACCTCTGGTCCTGGGAAAAATTTAACATTACGGGAAAAACAAAAATTAAATCGTATCTTTGAATGATAGATTTTCGAACGACATTCGTGTCTGCAGATCGCCCGCGCACACGAGTCACAGTTTTTCTTCTCCATTTTCGGGATTTGATCGGTGTGGGCGTGAAAGAGTATTTACCTTTAAGAATCTTAACTCCTTAAAAGAGGCTTCCCTTTATAAGGGGGTGAAAATCCCTTGGATTTTTGGGTGTGGGATAAATCCCACTAGAAAACCCATCCTTTCCCAGTTGAACCATTTCAACGAGTGAGCTTCGAGAATCAATTTCTCATTCACCCGTTATCCGTTTTGAGCGTACCATATATCGAGTTGTAGCTCTTAACAAGGACAATCCAAAACCACTTTGACCCGACCCAAATTGGAAGTGAACCCCACTCAAATAATTGCCCCAAAATGACCATTTAATGTAATTTTTAACACATTTTTCCAACAATATAGACAATATTTTCTCTCATAATGCAAATCATCAATAAGATGTGGTAAATTCTAGAGACCATTTACCAAATGAGTACGGAAAAGAAAGGGTTACAATAATTTGGGGGTATCAAACCGTACCCAAAAAATTACAATTAAAGTAAATAAAGAGAAATCCCAAAAGCATCTCCGAAAAGGGCATTTTAACAATAAAGGGGAGATTAAGAGTCAGTTTGGTTGAGAAATTCTGAAGGAGAAAGAAGGGCAAGATTGGTTTTCTACTTTATTAATTTATCTGAATTTGTTAGTTTTAGACTACAAATGACTATACAATTAGATAGACAATGTATTATTATATACAATTTTGTCTTTATCTTTATAGAAATTATTTTAAATTAAAATAAGACCCTTCTTCTTCCATCTCTTCCCAAATTCCCCAATCAAACTGGCCCTAAGAGTTTGAGAAAAAAGAAACAAGAGATGAATTCCCTGAGATAAGTAGTGAACGGCCAATTTTGTTCTTGGTACGGATGTTTAAAATTGAGTTTACCGGTGGTTAGGGATGACAATTGTGACCGATTTGATGGATATCGCACTGAACCGCCCCGATCAAAACGGGAAAATCCGCATTGACCGGGTAACGAGCACGGGGCGGAGAATACTCGTTTTGGTTTTATAGGTAACGAGGGGTTACAGTTTTATACATGCCCGCCTCATTACTCGCCCCTTTATTTTTAGTTATATATTTATTATATTTTTATCTATTATTTGTCCCACAACTACTCAAAGATGGAATTTTTCTATTTTCATTGTGTATATATGGATAACAGATGTACTAACTATAATGTATGAGTTAAACTTCATAATAGATCTTAAAAGTCTGGTTTGATTATTTTCAGATTTTGTTCGTGATTATTATTTTTGACATCAAGTATTTTTAGGTTCAAATTAATTTAGGTTGTCTTCGTTCTCGTGTTGTAGATATACCAAACTTTAAAGTGATGTCTGAATCTAGAGTCGTCTAGGTGATGTCATTTTTTTCCTTTTTGGAATATTATTTTTTACCCACGGTTATACCCGTTACCCATTGGGGGCGGTTATGATTTGGGTAAAAATTACCCATTGGGGAATGGGGCGGTTACATGGCGGGGGAATTGCCCAATGGGGCGGGTACAGTTATATGTAAAACTGCCGTTGATCTGATTTGGTGTCATCCTTACCGGTGGTCAGAAAAATGTATCAAATTCTCAATTTTACCTTTTTATCGTCCTCATATTTCCTCTTCTGAATCATTGAAGTCAAAATTATTGAAACTCTTTCAATCAACAATTGCTTCATAATGAATCTATTCCAAGATCTCATGTTCAATGCTTAAAATTTCTAGTCCATTAAAGTTTTTTGAGACATAGTCGATCACAAACATTTGAAATGATCGGGGTTTTGGGAATTGGGAGGCATGGCATGGGCAACCCAAAGACAATAATATAAATTAGTAATTTTGTTATTAATCAGTTTTACTTAAAAATCATATATATATATATATATATATATATATATATATATATATATATATATATATATCAAATGAGAACAACGCTTAACGTGAGAACGTGAGAACACCACATTTACCCCAACGTGTTGCACAACGAAGCTTGTATATTGCACATTTTCACACACACACACACACACACACACACACACACATATATATATATATATATATATATATATATATATATATATATATATATAGGGGAGGGTTCAAATACAAAGAGGTCTTCCCATGCAAAATGAGAATTAATCTCGTGCGTTCATTTTGAGATCTAAACATTCTACTGCCCCCAATCCCTCCTTCAGAAAGAAGAAAAAGGTCATCAGGAACACCATACCCATATACTCCTCTTATGAAGACTCATCTGACATGGATGGCTTCATGGTCAGCAAGTCTTATCAAGCCACATCCAAGAGACAGAAGACCCCTCCTCTGACTCAACTGGAACATGAACAGGCTGTCCAATCTCCTTCATCTGTTCAAGAGCATCATCCTTTGCCTAAGGGAAGAGGTCTGGAGATGCCTCAACCAGATGGACAACAGGACAACGTTCCCTTCAACAAATTTGTTGAATCTGCTGAAGAATTTGGAGGACAGATCCTCCAAGGCTTGAACAAACTGATTGAGGTCAATGACAAACACTATGGGCACCTTGCTCATGTGAATGACAATCTCAACTCAGGTATGCAGTTTATCTCTGATCGTTTTGAGAACCTCACTGGAACTCTCAACAACTTCATAGCCTCATCAACTGCAAGAACTGATGCCCTGTCAACAGAAGTGGTAGGCATCCACAACACTCTGTCTATCTTTCAACAGACTCTCTTGAGTCAAGGCCATGCTATTCACAATATCTCATAGCATCTTGAAGCTCTGAAGGAATCTGATGCCAGGACAGAGAGGCACTTGACCTCCATTGAGGCAATGTGCAGAATGCATCAAGAACGGGCTCATGCACTTCTGTCCACTGACAGAGATCGTTATCAGAAGATGGTGCTCCTTGAAGCCAATAACAAGGACATCTTCTCT